CATAATCGCCATGGATTTTATAACAGTGTTATTTAATTCAATTCATCTTTATTTCTTTACAGCGTAGATTGTGTCAAAGCAGCTTAACATAGAAGTTCTAGTAAATTGAAATTAAAACTGTCAGTGTAGTTTTCAGAGTTGAAGTTTAGTTTAGTTCAGTGTGGTTTAATTTTTACTGCTGAAAATCCAAACACTGATGCGCAGCTCTAGAATTCCCAAATTAAGCAAGCCAGTGGCTACATTGGACAAACTTCACCAATTAACGAAAATAAAAGAAAAAACCTAGAGAGAAACCAGGCTCAGTTGAGGATGATGATTTCTCCTATGGCCAAACTTCTTTTGCATAGCTGCAGTCTAGGCACCAGGGGTTGGAGAAAGCTGGACGTCCGTTGTGAAGTTATATTTTTCTTGACCTCAACTACAGTGGTAAATATGGAATTTGTCATCAAAATGTCCTAAACAGTAATTAAATATTAATCATGCCATTATAAAATTATTTAAGAGTATTGAAACTTTCACTGAAAAAAAAGGGTCATCAGATAATTATTCATTGCACAATTATAATTAACAGGAAAATCATGGGGCGTTGCAGTGGGTAGAACAATGCCCTCACAGCAAGAAGGTTGCTGGTTCGAGACCTGGCTGGTGTCAGTTGTCATTTCTGTGTGAAGTTTGCATGTTCTCCCCGTGTTCACGTGGGTTTCCTCCGGCTGCTCCGGTGTCCCCCTCAAGTCAAAAGACATGTGCTATAGATTAATTGAATAAGCTAAATTGTTCATTGTGTATGTGTGTGAATGAGTGTTTCCCAGTGTTGGGTTGCGGTTGGAAGGGCATCCGCTGTGTAAAACATGCTGGATAAGTTGGCGGTTTATTTCACTGTGGCGACCCCTGATTAATAAAGGGACTAAGCCGAAAAGAAAATGAATGAATGAAAATCATGTTTATGACAGATTTATGACAAGTTATGTTGTTCAGATAATGTAAAGTTGTCATAAAGACATCGCAAACACTGGCAACTTTGCATTTAAAACGACATAACTGAGCTAATGACAGATTTCATAAGCATGCATAAAAACATAATAATATTCATGACTTGTCACGTCATTATTTTAAAGGTTTCACGACAGTCAACACGCCATTCAAGTAAAGTGTTTATTCTATTTTGTTATGTTGCAGCATTATGAAAGTGGTGTTAAGTAACAAATTACAAATACTCCAATTACTGTAACTGAGTAGTTTTTTCTTAGGAATTGTTATTTACCAAGTAGTTTTAAAAATGTGTACTTTTACTTTGCCGTGAGTATATTTTTTGTGTTGTATTGGTACTTTTACTCAACTATTTTCCTTCAACCTGCAGTCACTACTTAATTTTTTCTTGACTATGGGGATTGACTGAGTAGAAAAATTAGTCGCGCGATTCCTGTTTAATCAACTGGCACATTGATATCAAATCGCATCATACGTAACTGAGCTTCATACAGGCAGTAAACCGCTTGAAAGCATTAAAACTGTGCAAGAAGATGTCCAACATCTTTATATGCAATGCTAGAGAGACCTCACTGATGAAAAGATGAAGGGTGTTTACTGTAAGATGACTAAAATCACCCTTAAGCAATGGCTAAATGCAATACAGAATGTTACCTTTTCACACACACTCACAAATTGCATATAAAAGCATCAGCTGTTTATAGCCTAATACTACTCATATTCACTACTTATGAGTACGTTGGTACTTTTAAAAGGGCTACTTTTTACTCATACTTTGAGTAATATTTGCAACAGATGATTTTACTCTACTTGCACTACATTTTTGGGCAAGTATTGGTGCTTTTACCTGAGTATGATTCATCAGCACTCTTTTCATTACTGCATTATGGCTCATTAAACTGTAATTAATAGAGTAAATTATGTTTAGCCTTACATCAATCTATGCAATCTGCATTTGAATTCAGTCACAAATTTAGTTTGCAATCTAAATTTATACTGAATGTGAAACCAGAGATGAATTTGAACTACAAAACCTGCCAGAGGAACTGTAGTGATAGAGACAGTGTAGAATAACGGAGAAACTTGGAAAGGGAAAGAAAAGCAGAAAAGATATCTAAAGAACTGACGACAGTGTTTTGTGTGAGACAGAGTGATAGTTGAGAGACAAGATACAGTGGCGGCAGTCTGCGATTGAGCTCGGGATAAACTGTTACACGGTACACTTTCCCAGGATTGGAAAGTACAAGAGGGCTCTGAAAGATTGAGACAGACAGAGAGTTAGAGGGAAGAGTGTGAGATAAAGCGTGATCATCATGATATCTGCAGGTGCTCACAGCACAGCCACGTGGAGGCAGGCCAGCACACATCCACACGTGGAGTCTAGCTGTCTTTTTCCAGTCTTTCTCTCTCGCTCACTTTTTCCTGCAGGCAAGGACTGAAAGGGACCTGCCACAACAGTCTCTGAGTATTTTACAAGCCTAGAATGCAGCTCTCTCATTATGTGGTTGGCAGGTGTGGATGTGGCAGGGAAGATAACAGCCTTCATATGTCTGTACTGACTTTCACTCACTGCCAAAATCAACTGCACTCCCAGATACTACAGTAATGATGATTTTATAAATGCACATTACAAACCTGAAATGTAAAACAACTGTATGAAACAAGCCATTTTGATTTGCATGCAATGCAAATGACATTTATTTTTATATTTCGTAGCACAGAGCTCTAAAGTAGTGAGTGACGACTGCATGGCGTTTGTGTTTTACTGTCACTGGCAGCAGCTGTTAAAAGCTTAAAGCTGACAGGTCTAACTCAACAGAGAGACTCCTCAAACAAAATTGAGCTGTAGCCTCTAAATCCTGAATAGAGCCATTATCTGTCATGTCAAGAAGCGCGTCCCGGAAGATCTGCTGTATAAATATGCAAACGATGAGATATACACATAAAACATGCTTTGTGTGTGAGACATCTCCGAAAAAAATGTTGGTTTGAACATCTGAGTTGCTTGAGGATTGTAAAGTGACTGGTTTTAATTAAAAAACCTGTCATTTAACAAAAATGTTGAGCTAATCTGATTGAAAGTGGCTTTGTTCCTGCTTCAAACGATGTGGATGGAATAAAGCAGCATAAAAGATGAACTAAAATTCGACGCTTTATTAATTACTTACCATAATTACTATTTTTAGTCACACTATGAATCATAATTTAATGTCTGTTTAATGATTTCTGCAAAATTGATTCAACCCTTTATTTCTGAGTATAAATTAAGTTTAAATTAGGTCACAAATCATTTTAATAGTAACATTTAAACATTTATTTGACTATAGGTACATTTGGAACTACACACAAACTAACTTTCATTCGAGTATTAGTAGACTGTTGGGTTAGAGTCGGGGTTAGTATATGTACATATACTTGCAAAGTTACTTGATGTCAGTACACTTTAAAAAGCAATTAGTTGACTTGGTCACTTTATTTTGATGGTCAGTCTGTTGAATTTAGTTACATTACATCTACATGCCAACTAATTCTCATTAGATTATAAGTAGACTGTTGGTTAGGGTTAGGGTTAGTGTAAGTTGACATGTACTTGCAAAGTTTCTTATAGTCAGTTAAATGTCTGCTAAAGGAGCAGTATCAGCAGATATTAAGCAGACAGTCTACTAATACTCAAATGGACCATCAAAATAAAGTGTTACCATTGACTTTACTTAAGAAAGGGAGCAAACTTTTTGGCTTTTTAAATTTTAAATAAACAAACTGTCCATAAATATAACATTAGGTCAATGGGTTTACTGATGCTTTTTAAGTAAAGTCAACTTGTTTACTGGGTTTACTCACTTTAAAAAAAAGTAAATTAACTAATCGCTGTCTACTAATACTCTAATGACTGCATGTTGATACGAAGTTGCAAGTTCCTGGTAGCTGATATGTAGTTGCAAAGTTGCATACTGTCAGAATATAGTGTATGTTGAGGAAGATAATAAAGTGTGTGCAGAAATTAAGCAGACAAGCTCTTATGACTGGATGGTGATCTAACTGCAAAGTTACTTATAGTCAAAAGAACGCCTAACAATGCCAGCAAATTTGTAATGAATGCAAAAAGTTGCTTAGTACCCTGTCAACAAAAGAGATATACATATTCACACACTACTGGTCAAAAGTTTGTTTTTTTGTTTAGGAAAATTATTCTGTTCATCAAGGCAGCATTAATTAAATGTAAAAAAGTTAAATATTTATAAATATTTGTTACCAATTAAATAATTACTTTCTTATTGTATGTAATTTCAAATGAAATAACTACTCCAGTCATTATTGCTTGTGTTGCTTTTACCATTATTAATAATAATATTAATAATAATTAATATTAAAGTGATTTCTGAAGGATCATGTGACTGAAGACTGGAGTAATGAAGCTGAACATATATCTTTAACAGTTACTTTAAAGTGAACAGTTACTTTTTGAACAGTTACTTTAAAGTGCAATAATATTTCACAATTTTACAATTTGTACTGTATTTTAAATTAAATAAATGCAGCCTTGGTGAGCAGGAGAAGCTTATCTTAAAACGTTTAAACCTGTACTGACCCCAAACTTTTGACTGGTATAGTGTGTACACACACACATACACACACACATTTGGTGGTTAAATTGTTTAGTTTTTTCACATTGTGACTAAGAACACCACTTAACCACAGTACAGTGACTATTATGTGCGTCATACATGGCTTAAGCCCATAAAAATAATTGCAAAACAGTGGCAATAAATGACTAGAAGTTTTTGAGAATTGATCTATCCACAGTCATCAGAGACTGTGCCAGATGTCTGAGTCAAATTCTGCCTTTCCAAACATTCAGTTAGTTTGTTTATATTTCCCAGCTTCAGGCTTGTCTATATGTCTAAATATTTAAAAAGTTCCTCACATCACTTCATCCTTTCCATTTCCACAAAATGACCTCACTCAGGGTCACGCTCTACACACTCCACACACTCTAACAAATGTCTACTCACGTTAGTTTTGCTGGTGACAGAGAAGGTGGCTCTGCTGGAGAAGCGTGTGGTGGTGGGACTGGAGGCCGAGCCGCTGGCGGAGCCGGTCAGGGCTGCCACACTGGGTGCTGCAGACGGTGGAGACTGATGCCCTGTGCTGTTGCTGCTCTGTGACCCTCCAGTGAGGAGCGCACTTCTGTCACACACCGACCCCGTCAGCATCTCTACCTGTCGGGTCAGGGCCTCTAGCTGCCCCCTGAGCTGCCGGTTTTCCTGCTGCAGCTGTGCCACAGCTCGACCCAGAGGTCCACTCACATGAATGGCCTCTTCTAGTCTGCGCTCGATTCCTAGCTTAAAAGCACTGACATCTACGTGGATCTCACGCACAGCATCCCGCAATGTGGTTTCATAGCGGGCTAAAGCAGCACAAACTGTCTCCCCTTCAGGAGAGCCTTCGGCCACTGACGCCAATGGGCCTGCGTCCATCCTGAGTCCAGGTAAGTTCCTTTACAAACTGAGATTTGTCTTTAAAATAAAAAATCCCCTCTTGAAATTGTTTAGAGTCTTAGATCCATATAGAAGTCTTGACACCAGTGACCTGTTGATATAAAAAAGTAATGAATAAAAAGTGTTTTGAAGTTCAACAACATTCAGTACTAAAGGTCAAAACAGAGTGAGTTTACAGACCTTTGTGTTTCAGTGTGATTTCCCCTGCTGTAAGTGTGTCTGGGTGTGTGTTCAGCCCGCCGTGCTGTTTTAAAGTACAGCTCTCGCAGTCACGTTAACCTCCTCCAACTCCTGCAGCCCGGGGGAGGGAGCAGAGCGAGGGAGGGAACAAGAGCAGAGAGGAGGAGAGATAGAGCTCTGCTTTATCCCAGATCCCCCTCCTCCTCCTTTCCACTGTATTTCTATTAATCTCCACTTTCACAACACAGGGCTCTGTCTCTGCACTCTCTTCCTCACTCTTTTTTCCCCCTTCTGACAGATAAAGGCCACTGCTCACATTACTCCAGCTCAAGCATGTCCCAGTGTCTCAGCAGTGGCATATCAGAGAGGAACAGACACGCCTTTTGTTGTCTTTTTCTGTCTCACTTTCACTGGGTTCAGAGTGTGGTGGATGAGGTCAGGATAAAAGCTGCTCTCTTAAGGTTATAAAGTGCCTGTTTATACTGTAAAGAGTGGGAATATGCGGCTAAATCGTCCTAACAACTTTCCAGAGGCAAGTAATGTGTGAATAACATCCAGTCTGGATTTTTTTTTTTGCTGTTTAGTTATGAGATTTTAAGTTATTTTTGTTGCAGAAACAGAAACCAAGTTGTTGCATCATGTAGTGTTATTGAGTTCAGTTTGGACAGATAATTACTTGCTGCAGAAATCTTGGTTAGGACCATGTGTTAAAATGAGCTTTACTGCTGCAATGTTATGTTTTTATATTTTAGAAATATATTATACAGTACTATAGTGCAATATAAGAAGTCAGTCAAGAAGGCTATAAGAAGGCTCTTGTGATTACCAATGAAAATATAGAGTAAATCTTAATATTGTGAAATATTAACTAATCCAATGTTGGGTTAAAACAACCCAGTGTTGTACTACAATTTAAAGAGCACCTATTTTAGCCCTTTTAAAAGATGTAAGATAAGTCTTTGGTGTCTCCAGAATGTGTCTGTAACGTTTCAGGCAAAAATACTCATCAGATAATTTATTATAGCCTCTAGAATCTGCCATTTTGGTGTCTGAAGTCACTGTAGCTCTTTTTGTAGCCTGTGGCTTTAAATGCTATTGAGCTGCTTCTCCCCACCCACCATTCCCACGTGCGTGTCTGCTTCTCATCATACCAGATAAACAGCAGTCAGTGATAAGACACAGATTTGGTTGAAACTGAAATACAGCTCATTAGTCAAAAATACCAAGTAAGTTTGTTTCCTGTTGGTGTGGTGGAGTTTTTTCAAGCAATTCTGAAATGATGAGTCTCAAACAAATGCTGTTTGCAGTAGACACACTCACATTAGCATTTCCTGACACCATGCGGCTATGTTATTATAGCAGTTAAGAAAATGTTCAGTGGACATTGTATACATCTTATTATAGAAACATGGCACATGTCAATCAATTTGGTTGGCGGGGAAAACCACACTGGTACGTCACGTTGCGGTCGGCCTTAAAATCACTGGGATTTTGGTCCTATTTTAACATGAAAAATTAAAAAAGAGACTTGTTGAGTTTATATCACTCCAATAGGATAGTGGACACACTATAGGCCTACATACACACAGTTAAAACAGCTTACACAAGTTAATTTTCCTCATAGGTGCCCTTTAAAATAACAATATCAGTGGTTTTGCTTATTATCAGAAGGGGTGACACTTTTGTCACCATTTATGTTCCATTTGAGTATTAGTAGACTGTCTGCTTAATATCTGTTGATACTGCTTATTTAACACATTTAACTGGCTATAAGAAACTTTGCAAGTACATCTCTCCATTTCTCTAGCGTTAAATCCAACCTAACAGTCTAGTTGGAAAGTGTCTTTGCTGAATAAAAGTATGATATTCTTTCCAAAAAAATTTATTACCCGCCAAAACATGTTAGAATTCTCCCTTCTCATTTACATACAATAGCCGAACTTATTTCAAAGTAGTAAACCAAGAGGTCATTCCCTGAACAATTTGGTGTACTCTCCAAGAGTTCAATGTCTTGTGTTCTCCAAACTGACCTTGCGTCCTGTCATGATCAATCAGTGTATAGACAAAATGGGTGCTGATTGGATTTCAAGAGTTTGCTGTTAAGGGTGAAAAGAGGAACATAATGGACCTGGAGGAAGTGAGCTAGTTGTGTTTGTGTCTGTGTTTGTCTATTGTGGGAGGAGGGAAGAGTGCAGCGCTGCAACAGAGCAAACAGGCCTAATCAGATAATGAGGTACAGGGGGGCTCAGGACTGGACTAATGGCCTGTAGCACAACCTCTACAATGAGTCCTGGCCAACGGACTGAAAAAACTTTACATTCCAGACCACTGTTTACTGTAAACACTGGAAGCTGTGGGAGAGCGGAGGTGATTTATAGCTATGCACAATAAGCTTTGCTACTCAACTTTACATAACAAAGCTGTGAGGGAATGCTGCACACAGGGTCCTAACATTTACATCTACAAAATTGGGTATCGAACTAATTTTATTATTATATAATATTATTTTAAAGTCATTTAAAATTTAAAGGTTATATTTAAATATTATTTTAAAAGTGAATGTACTTTGAAATATTTAATAATGATAATTGCAGCAATAATAATAGTTGTTCTTGTTATTTTTTATTTAAAAACGGTAAAACGCAATATTGATGGATGTGGAGCTTTTGCTCTGATAGAAAAGAACAGGGAAACTTTTATTTTGAAGGGCTTTGTAAACAAATATTGGCAATACAAAATTAGAAAGATGTTTGGTTTAATTTTTACATTCTAATTAAAATAAAAGGTTTGCTTAGTGCTTATCATTTTGAAGACCAAAAGTTTACATGCATAACACCAACCTTTTTTTTCCAAGACCAAACCTTATCGGTTGTTTGCATATGACAACACTAATGATGCACAAAATTCAGATGGAGGGCAGGAAGTGATTCTTCTACATCGCTATCAGAACATCAAAATGTTCTGTTTTATGTTGTTTATAATGGTTTAAATCGGCCAAAAATAGGAAATGCCGAACAGATTTAATTGACTTCCAAAAGTTTTTGCTCATAAAGAGTGGAATGTTTAGAAACAGGTTAAAAATTGGAAGAAAAGAAGGCATATAATAAACATTTATTCAATACATCCATGTGCAAAAACTTTTTTAAATGCGATAATTTGTTTGACAGCACCAATAAAGATTATATACAGGCCTAGCTATGTGTATATGTTAATGTGTTATATAAAAATCAGATACAAACACCAGCACATTTACAAAGTCCAGGAGAATATAAATAACTTACAACGCCATGTTATCGCTGCAATGAAATCTCTGTTTTGTTTCAGCAGAATAAACAACCATTAAGTGAACATGGATATGCGCATGCGTTTATCGACGGTAAGTTCATCGACCAAAAAAAAAAAAGAAATGCAATCCTTGCAACAAAACTAGACAGTTAATGTTATTGAGCACTTTTCCCCCTTAAAATAAAAATAATTTAGACTTTGTCGACATGCTTTTGTATGCTTTCATCTGTTATTTCTTGATGTCTGGAAGATATCCAAAGTGAAAAAAAAAACTATAGTAATTAATAAAAAACCTGTTTTTGAACCACATAGTAAAGCGTAAATTGCCAACAAATCTTTGGTAATGGATGCTACAGAATACTGTAGCATAGTAAACTGATAAACTGTAAAAATACTGTAACGTTAGTGTAAACTATGTTTGTGCATTGTGATGGTGTAGAAAAGGGTAGAAAACTGATGTCAATTGAATAATTTATTACTACAGTTGTGTTGCACCACAGCAACAATATAATTACTACTACGTTTAATTCAAGTAGTTATCTATAGTATTCTTCCAAACACTATAGTATTTACTGTTGTTTCATGTAACGTAAGTACAGTATCTACCCTTCATGATTTAAAGATTATGCCCAACATATTTGCTTATTTTCTATTTATAAACTGCAAAGATACAGACTTTCCTCTATGCCTCTCATTCAGTTTTTCATTTCCTGCTCTCCATCTGAATTTCACGTGTCACCAGAACCACGTGATTTAAAATTTAAAAACCACATGATTTACATCCATTATTACAGACACAAGATATCAATGAAACGACCAACTGAGGACAATTAACACTGTTGAACTGTATTATTGGGCAAGAAACCAGGTATCTCATGAAGATTGATCCTGATGATTTGTTTGGTTTGTTTAGATTTGAGCCACACTAAAGCGAGTTTTCAAATGGACTGAGACCCAACTTTTCAGTGGTCTCCTTGCCTTTACTCAGCTTGCTGTACATTGGTTCAGTTGGCTTTTCCACTACAGTTCAGTACCACTTAAAGTGGGTAGGATTACAGATATATATAGTTTTGTCACCTTTACTACCATGGCTGCTTTGTGGATGCTGATGGTCACCATGTGAGCAGTGCGACCTCCTAAAAGTCTTATTCATTTAGAATTGCACTAACAAGAGGAACGTCTGCATCTTTTCAGCTAACAAAGATACATAAATAGCATGTGACTGTCATTTGAAAGATCCTGCAGTGGCTGTTGCTGACTTTTTGACAAGTGAGCAATACTGAGTGGTACCATCTTGTGGAAAAGTGCCATTAATTTGCTTGGTACACAGCAGGGTGTGATACACAATGATTTTACTTACTTAGATGAACCAGAGCTTTAATTTAACCAAACCTGTCAAGTGTGAACATAAGCCTCAAACTCACAGCACTTTCAGAGATTGAATAATGACACTGAAAACACTGTCAATCATGAGCTGTTCACATTGATTTTACAACAATGAAGTCTTTGAAATATGATGATCCCATTAAACTAAACTGAGTTCTCTTGGATTGTTCAAATAAACAAAAAATGTTACCAGTCAATTGCTAAGTAACACTGTGAGAGCTAAGGCCCTGTCACAAATCCAATGATATCGGTAATGATGATGATTCTTTCTGGGCAATCTGTGATTTGCAGTGTTTGCAAATAACATTTAGGTATTGGTACAGCTTGCTTGGAACTTCAACTGAGGATTTACTTTAAAAAGTACCAATTAGCAGGTGCCATACACATTTACATTACATTT